CGGCTCGAGAAGTGCCCCAGGACTCGCTCGCGCTCCTGAGTCTCCCCCGAGAGCACCAGAGCCCGCAGGAACTGCCTGCAGCACCCCGAAACCCAAAGTGACCCCAAAAACACCCAAAGTGACCCCAAACACACCAAAGTGACCCCAAAAACACCCAAAGTGACCCCAAACACACCAAAGTGACCCCAAAAACACCCAAAGTGACCCCAAAAACACCAAAGTGACCCCAAAAACACCAAAAGTGACCCCAAAAACACCCAAAGTTAGGGTCGGTTTCAGGGGGTTAGGCTGGGTTTTAGGCTCGGTTTTAGGGGGGTTAGGCTCAGTTTTAGGGGGGTTAGGCTCGGTTTTAGGCTCAGTTTTAGGGTTAGGCTCGGTTTTAGGCTCGGTTTTAGGGTTAGGCTCTCACCGGCCGAGGGGAAGGCGCCGGGGTTGCAGCGGTGGAAGCGGCTCGAGAAGTGCCCCAGGACTCGCTCGCGCTCCTGAGTCTCCCCCGAGAGCACCAGAGCCCGCAGGAACTGCCTGCAGCACCCCGAAACCCAAAGTGACCCCAAAAACACCCAAAGTGACCCCAAACACCCCAAAGTGACCCCAAACACCCCAAAGTGACCCCAAACACCCCAAAGTGACCCCAAACACCCCAAAGTGACCCCAAACACCCCAAAGTGACCCCAAACACCCCAAAGTGACCCCAAACACCCCAAAGTGACCCCAAACACCCCAAAGTGACCCCAAACACCCCAAAGTGACCCCAAACACCCCAAAGTGACCCCAAACACCCCAAAGTGACCCCAAACACCCCAAAGTGACCCCAAACACCCCAAAGTGACCCCAAACACCCCAAAGTGACCCCAAACACCCCAAAGTGACCCCAAACACCCCAAAGTGACCCCAAACACCCCAAAGTGACCCCAAACACCCCAAAGTGACCCCAAACACCCCAAAGTGACCCCAAACACCCCAAAGTGACCCCAAACACCCCAAAGTGACCCCAAACACCCCAAAGTGACCCCAAACACCCCAAAGTGACCCCAAACACCCCAAAGTGACCCCAAACACCCCAAAGTGACCCCAAACACCCCAAAGTGACCCCAAACACCCCAAAGTGACCCCAAACACCCCAAAGTGACCCCAAACACCCCAAAGTGACCCCAAACACCCCAAAGTGACCCCAAACACCCCAAAGTGACCCCAAACACCCCAAAGTGACCCCAAACACCCCAAAGTGACCCCAAACACCCCAAAGTGACCCCAAACACCCCAAAGTGACCCCAAACACCCCAAAGTGACCCCAAACACCCCAAAGTGACCCCAAACACCCCAAAGTGACCCCAAACACCCCAAAGTGACCCCAAACACCCCAAAGTGACCCCAAACACCCCAAAGTGACCCCAAACACCCCAAAGTGACCCCAAACACCCCAAAGTGACCCCAAACACCCCAAAGTGACCCCAAACACCCCAAAGTGACCCCAAACACCCCAAAGTGACCCCAAACACCCCAAAGTGACCCCAAACACCCCAAAGTGACCCCAAACACCCCAAAGTGACCCCAAACACCCCAAAGTGACCCCAAAAACCCCAAAGTGACCCCAAACACCCCCAAAACACCCTGAAACATCCCTAAAATACCCCTAAAACACCCCAAAACCAGCCTGGAATACCCCAAAAATCACCCCAAAAGTGACCCCAAAGTGCTCCAAAAGTGACCCCAAATCATCCCCAAAATGCCCCAAATCCCCCCCCAAAAATCCACCAAATTCTCCCAAAAATGCTCCCAAAAAATGCCCCAAAAATGCCCTAAAAATCCCCCCAAAATATCCCCAAACCCCTCCACCAAATTCCCTCCAAAAATCCCCTAAAATCCCCTCAAAAATCCCAAATTCCCCAAACTCCCCCAAATCTCCCAAAAATCTCCCAAATCCCCCCCAAAATCCTTCCCAGAAATCCCCAGAATCCCCAAAAGTCATCCCCAAATCCCCCCCAAAATCCCTCCCAGAAATCCCAAAAATCCCCGAATTTCCCCCAAAAATCCCCGAATTTCCCCCAAAAATCCCCGAATTTCCCCCAAAAATCCCAAATTCCCCCAAATCCCGGATCCCGCTCTCACCTCAGCGCCTGCTCCAGGCTCATTCCCTGGAACTGGAAGAGCTCCAGGTACTCCTGCGCCACGCGGGAGCTGAACTCCGTGCTGGCAACGAAATTTGGGGACAAAAACCCTCAACTCCCACCCCAAAAAATCCTCAACTCCCAAAAAAATCCTCAATTCCCAAAAAAATCCCCAAAAAATCCCACAATTCCCACCTAAAAAAATCTTCTTTTTTCCCCAAAAATTCACTTTTTTCTCCCCCAAATCCCCATTTTCCCCCCAAAAATCCCAATTTTTTCCCCCAAAAATCGCATTTTCTTTCCCAAATTCCCATTTCCCCCCCAGTTTTTCCCAAAATCCCCCTTTTTTGCCCCAAACTCTCACTCCTTGCGCAGGAACGAGGCCACCTGGGACTTCCTGACCCCGTCCAGGCGGAAAAGGCGCCGGGCCAGGGACACGGGGTCCTCCCTGGGGGGGAAAATGGGGGGAAAAATGAGAATTTTGGGAAAAAATGGGGATTTTGGGGTGCAAAATGGGGATTTTTGGGAAAAATTGGGGGGGTTGGGGGGGAAATGGGCTGGGGGTAAATCTGGGGGGATTTGGGGTCCCTCTTTTGGGGGCCAATTTGGGGGGTCTGGGAAGTTTTGGGGTCCCCATTTTTGGGGTAAATCTGGGGGGCTTGGGAGGTTTTGGGGTCCCTCTTTTTGGGGCCAACCTGGGAGGTTTTGGGGTCTTTGGGGTCCCTCTTTTAGGGGCAAATTTGGGGGGGCTGAGGCGGTTTTGTCGCCCCCTTTTTGGGGTAAATCTGGGGGGATTTGGGGTCCCTCTTTTGGGGGTTCTGGGAGGATTTGGGGTCCCTCTTTTTGGGGTAAATCTGGGGGAATTTGGGAGTTTTGGGGTCCCTCCTTTTGGGGTAAATCTGGGGGGTCCCAGGAACTGGGGGGCTCCTCCAGGGGGATGGGGGAGTCCAGCCCCCCCCATTCTGGGTCCATCCATTTGGGGGGGTCCCCAAATTCCAGGGGTGGATCCAAGGGGTCCCCAAATTCTGGGGAGTCCCCAAATTCCGGAGGTGGATCCAGGGTGTCCCCAAATTTTGGGGTTCTGGGTGGTCCTGGGGAAGGAGAAGACACCAAGGGGGGGTCCCCAAATTCCGGGGGGTCCCCAAATTCCGGGAGGTCCCCAAATTCCGGAGGTGGATCCGGAGTGTCCTCAATTTCCGGGGTTCTGGGTGGTCCTGGGGGAGGAGAAGACACCAAGGCGGGGGTTCCCATCAGGACTGGTGGGACCCCCCAAATTAACCCCATCCCCCCCCAAATTTGGGGTCACCACACTCACCCCGCTCCAGGGGATGACACCCGAGGGTGGCACCGTGGGGGCGCCAGGGGGGCACCCCCGGGGGCAGCGGGCGCTGGAACAGGGGGTTGGTGTGGAAATGGGGCTCCTCATCCTCATCCAGGTCCTCCTCAAGGTCCTCCTCATCCAGGTCCTCCTTGTCTTCATCCTCATGGGAGGAGCCACCGTGGTCATCGTGGTCATCATGGTCATCATGGTCATTGTGGTCATCACGGTCATTGTGGTCGTTGAGGTCATGGTGGTCATCACAGCCATTGTGGTCATCGTGGTCATTGAGGTCATCCAGGTCATGGTGGTCATCGAGGTCATTGTGGTCATCAAGGTCATTGTGGTCGTTGAGGTCATCGTGGTCACTGTGGTCATTGAGGTCATGGTGGTCATCATGGTCATTGTGGTCATTGAGGTCATGGTGGTCATCTAGGTCATTGTAGTCATCATGGTCATGGTGGTCATCATGGTCATGGTGGTCATTGAGGTCATGGTGGTCATCATGGTCATCGAGGTCATGGTGGTCCTTGAAGTCATTGTTGTCATCATGGTGATCATCGAGGTCATTGTGGTCATCGAGGTCATGGTGGTCATTGAGGTCATGGTGGTCAACTAGGTTATGGTGGTCATTGTGGTCATCATGGTCATGGTGGTCATCTGGGTCATTGTGGTCACTGAGGTCATCATGGTGGTCATTGTGGTCATCATGGTCATTGTGGTCATCACGGTCATCGTTGGCGTGGTGGTCGTCATCATCGTCGTCACCTTCCTCTTCCTCCTGGCTGAGTTTGGGGGCTTGGGGCTTGGGGGAGATGGGACCACCCATGGTCATGAGTCTGGGGGAGATGGGACCTCCCGTGGTCATGGGTCTGGGGGAGATGGGACCTCCCGTGGTCACAGTCTTGGACAAGCTGGCCACGTCCAAGGCCATGTTCTGGGACAAGATGGCCAAACCCATGGCCAGGTGCTCTGCAGAGAAGGTCCCGTGTGTGGTGACGAATTTGGGTGAGGTGTCTCCATCCCTGGTCACGGTCTGGGATGCGATGTCCCCACCCACGGACGTGTGGGAGATGTCCCCACCCACGCTGGTGACGTTGGGTGAGATGTTCCTGTCCCAGCACTCGGACGGGTCGGTCCCATCCGTGGCCACCAGACTGGCTGGGGTGGCCCCGTCCGTTGTCACCTGGCCACGGGAGGTGTCCCCAGCCATGGACGTGATGCTCCCGAAGAGGAACTCGAAGCTTTGGTCCACGGGAACGGCCTGGGGTGGGATGGACTCATCCATGGACGCCTGGAGGATCTCCTCAAACGTGGATCCACGGCTTTGGAGCTCCTGGGAGATGCTCCCACCCACGGTCATGGATTTGGGTGGGATGGAACCGTCTGTAGGCACCGTGGAAATGACGTCCTCATCCATGGGCATGGATTTGGGTGGGAAGTCCACACCCATGGACATGCTGAGGATGTCCTCAAACGTGGATCCATGGCCTCGGAGCTCCTGGGAGATGCTCCCATCCACGGTCATGGATTTGGGTGGGATGGAACCATCTGTAGACACCTGGAGAACATTCTCATCCTTGGCCATGGGTTTGGTCATGGTGGTCATTGAGGTCATGGTGGTCATCTAGGTCATTGTAGTCATCATGGTCATGGTGGTCATCATGGTCATGGTGGTCATTGAGGTCATGGTGGTCATCATGGTCATTGTGGTCATTGAGGTCATGGTGGTCATCATGGTCATTGTGGTCATTGAGGTCATGGTGGTCATCATGGTCATTGTGGTCATTGAGGTCATGGTGGTCATCATGGTCATTGTGGTCATTGAGGTCATGGTGGTCATCATGGTCATTGTGGTCATTGAGGTCATGGTGGTCATCATGGTCATTGTGGTCATTGAGGTCATGGTGGTCATCATGGTCATCGAGGTCATGGTGGTCCTTGAAGTCATTGTTGTCATCATGGTGATCATCGAGGTCATTGTGGTCATCGAGGTCATGGTGGTCATTGAGGTCATGGTGGTCAACTAGGTTATGGTGGTCATTGTGGTCATCATGGTCATTGTGGTCATCACGGTCATCGTTGGCGTGGTGGTCGTCATCATCGTCGTCACCTTCCTCTTCCTCCTGGCTGAGTTTGGGGGCTTGGGGCTTGGGGGAGATGGGACCACCCATGGTCATGAGTCTGGGGGAGATGGGACCTCCCGTGGTCATGGGTCTGGGGGAGATGGGACCTCCCGTGGTCATGGGTCTGGGGGAGATGGGACCTCCCGTGGTCATGGGTCTGGGGGAGATGGGACCTCCCGTGGTCACAGTCTTGGACAAGCTGGCCACGTCCAAGGCCATGTTCTGGGACAAGATGGCCAAACCCATGGCCAGGTGCTCTGCAGAGAAGGTCCCGTGTGTGGTGACGAATTTGGGTGAGGTGTCTCCATCCCTGGTCACGGTCTGGGATGCGATGTCCCCACCCACGGACGTGTGGGAGATGTCCCCACCCACGCTGGTGACGTTGGGTGAGACGTTCCTGTCCCAGCACTCGGACGGGTCGGTCCCATCCGTGGCCACCAGACTGGCTGGGGTGGCCCCGTCCGTTGTCACCTGGCCACGGGAGGTGTCCCCAGCCATGGACGTGATGCTCCCGAAGAGGAACTCGAAGCTTTGGTCCACGGGAACGGCCTGGGGTGGGATGGACTCATCCATGGACGCCTGGAGGATCTCCTCAAACGTGGATCCACGGCTTTGGAGCTCCTGGGAGATGCTCCCACCCACGGTCATGGATTTGGGTGGGATGGAACCGTCTGTAGGCACCGTGGAAATGACGTCCTCATCCATGGGCATGGATTTGGGTGGGAAGTCCACACCCATGGACATGCTGAGGATGTCCTCAAACGTGGATCCATGGCCTCGGAGCTCCTGGGAGATGCTCCCATCCACGGTCATGGATTTGGGTGGGATGGAACCATCTGTAGACACCTGGAGAACATTCTCATCCTTGGCCATGGGTTTGGGTGGGATGTCCACACCCATGGGTTTGGGTGGGATGTCCACACCCATGGACACCCGGAAGAGCTCCTCAAGCATGGATCCATGGCCTTGGAGCTCCTGGAAAATGCTCCCATCCATGTTCATGGATTTGGGTGGGATGTTCCCATCCATGGCCGTGGATTTGGGTGGGATGGATCCCTCTGCAGACACCTGGAAGATGTTCTCATCCATGGGCATGGACTTGGATGGGATGGAACCATCTGTGGACGCCTGGAAGATCTCCTCAGACGTGGATCCAGGGCCTTGGAGCTCCTGGGAGACGCTCCCACCCACGGTCATGGATTTGGAACCATCTGTGGACACCTGGAAGATGCTCTCTAACGTGGACATGGATTTGGGTGGGGTGGAACCATCTACAGACACCTGGAGAACATTCTCATCCTCAGCCATGGATTTGGGTGGGATGGACTCATCCATGCACACCTGGAAGAGCTCCTCAGACGTGGATCCATGGCTTTGGAGCTCCTGGGAGGCGCTCCCATCCATGGTCATGGATTTGGGTGGGATGGAACCATCTGTGGACACCTGGAAGATGTTCTCCAACGCAGCCACGGATTTGGGCGAGATGTTCTCATCCTTGGCCATGGATTTGGGTGGGATGGACTCATCCATGCACACCTGGAAGATCTCCTCAAACGTGGATCCTGGGCCTTGGAGCTCCTGGGAGACGCTCCCAGCCCCATGCTGGTGCTGGTGCCCATGGTGGTGCCCAGTGTCCGTCTGTCCCTCGATGGCCCCCTGGAGCTCCTGGACACACAGCTGGGCACGGAGCAGGCTGGCCCAGAACACGTCCGGGACCGCGGCCGGGGCTGGGGTCGGGGAGGGGGTCAGCGTGGGGGTTGGGACAGTGGTCACTGCAGGTGTCCCGGTGCCACTCCCGGTGCCCCCGTCACCTCCCGCCGTCCCCGCGGCCACCCCGCGTCACCGTCCCCGTGTCACCCGCGTCACCCGCGCCGCTTCCGCCCCGCCGGGACAGGAAACGGGGGGAGGGGACCCCGAAAATCGCCCCGGGATCCCCAAAAAAAAAAACTTCGGGACCCAAAAGAGCCCCGCGACCCCAAAATCACAGCCGGGACCCCCAGAAAAGCAGAACCCCCACCCCCAGGCGGGACCCCAAAAAAACTCCGGGATCCCAAAAAAAAAAGGACCCCCCGGAAAACTTTGGGACCCAAAACAGCCCCGGGACCCCAAAAACCTCCCGGACCCCCCCAAAAACCGGGACCCTTAAAGAGCTTCGGGACCCCAAAAAACTCCCGGACCCCACCAAACCTGGGACCCCAAAAACCGCGCCCGGGAGCCCAAAATCCCACCCGGGACCCCGAAGTTTATGGGAGACCCCAAAAAGGGCGAGGGGACCCCAAAAGTGCCCAAAATCCCACCCGGGACCCCGAAGTTTATGGGAGACCCCAAAAAGGGCGAGGGGACCCCAAAAGTTCCCCAAATTTTAGGGGGGCGGGGGGGGCAAAGGTTATCAAAAGGAGGGTTCTGATCCCCCAAAAAAGGGTCCAGACCCCAAAAGGAGGGTTCTGATCCCCCAAAAAAGGGTCCAGACCCCAAAAGGAGGGTTCTGATCCCCCAAAAAAGGGTCCAGACCCCAAAAGGAGGGTTCTGATCCCCCAAAAAAGGGTCCAGACCCCAAAAGGAGGGTTCTGATCCCCCAAAAAAGGGTCCAGACCCCAAAAGGAGGGTTCTGATCCCCCAAAAAAGGGTCCAGACCCCAAAAGGAGGGTTCTGATCCCCCAAAAAAGGGTCCAGACCCCAAAAGGAGGGTTCTGATCCCCCAAAAAAGGGTCCAGACCCCAAAAGGAGGGTTCTGATCCCCCAAAAAAGGGTCCAGACCCCAAAAGGAGGGTTCTGATCCCCCAAAAAAGGGTCCAGACCCCAAAAGGAGGGTTCTGATCCCCCAAAAAAGGGTCCAGACCCCAAAAGGAGGGTTCTGATCCCCCAAAAAAGGGTCCAGACCCCAAAAGGAGGGTTCTGATCCCCCAAAAAAGGGTCCAGACCCCAAAAGGAGGGTTCTGATCCCCCAAAAAAGGGTCCAGACCCCAAAAGGAGGGTTCTGATCCCCCAAAAAAGGGTCCAGACCCCAAAAGGAGGGTTCTGATCCCCCAAAAAAGGGTCCAGACCCCAAAAGGAGGGTTCTGATCCCCCAAAAAAGGGTCCAGACCCCAAAAGGAGGGTTCTGATCCCCCAAAAAAGGGTCCAGACCCCAAAAGGAGGGTTCTGACCCCAAAAGGAGGGTTCTGATCCCCCAAAAAAGGGTCCAGACCCCAAAAGGAGGGTTCTGACCCCAAAAGGAGGGTTCTGATCCCCCAAAAAAGGGTCCAGACCCCAAAAGGAGGGTTCTTACCCCAAAAAAGGGTCCTGGCCCCAAAATGGAAGGAAAGAAGGAAGGAAGGAAGGGTGGGGGAGAGGGACGGAAGACTTCAGGAAGGGGGAGGAAAGGCGGGGAGAGGGCGGCGGGAGAGAGGGAGGGAGGAAGTGCGGGAGGAGCGAGGGAGGGAAGGAGGAAGAGAGGGAAGGAGGAAGAGAGAGAGAGGGAGGAAGGAGAGAAGGAGGAAGGAGAGAGGGAGGAAGGAAGTGCTCAGAGAAGGGAGGGAGGGAGCGGAGGAGGAGGAAGGAAAGCGAGGAGGGGGAGAGGGAGAGGGAGTGGGAGGGGCACAGCCACGACTCCGGGGGTCCCCCCGACCCTCCCCCCGCACCTGCAGCCGCCGCCGTCCCCCCGCGGCCACCCCGGTGCCACCAGCGAGTGCCACCGGCCCCTGCCAGCTCCCGGTGTCCCGGTGCCAC